GCAAGTTCTTGGAGGTCTACCGGGTGGAGGCCTGCGTGTACTCGTAGGCGCGTGAGGCCGCCTGACGGTCGCGCGCAAGAAAAGCCTTCTGCTCCCCCTCGCGAAGATCTGGGCGACGCAAAAGACGCGACGGCAAGCTTTCATCCCAGCCCTCCTGTGTGCCGGTCTTCTCTTTTGGAGTGAAGCTCTGCTGCTCCTCTCCTCCTTCTGCCGCCTCGTCCCCTGCTCGCGTTTTCGCTTGCCTCTTACCGACCTGCCCTCCACCTTCCCTGAGATCCGACGTCTCGAACAATTGAAACATCTTGAGACATCGCGACTGCAGCCCTAGACTCCAGATTCACGCACCATCTTTAGAGCCGGAACGATCGGCGAGGACCTCGGGGGCCCGAATCTGGACGAAATCGCTCGGCTCGAAAACATTGGGCAGCCAGGATCTCAGGGCTTCCCCCTGCCATCGCAGAAGGCCGCCCCACCCCCTCTCTGTGCGCCGCCGGTGCACGTGCCATGGCGGGCCGGGGCGAGAAAGCTGGAAAACTCAGGAGGGAAAAAAGCACACAGACACAATTGATCCTCGATTCCCCCGAAAATATAGGAAAATATGGGAAGTGGGGGGGAAGACAAAAACCCCGAAAATATGTGAAACTATGGGGAACTGTTTTATTTGTGTGTATTTGTTTGTGTGTCCCAGGGCCCCTTCGAGAACGCACGTTGTGTCGCACGCCCTCAAGAGAGGGCGCTCTCGGCCCCTGGTGCGGCTGGGCCGTGGCCGACCCGCCGCGCGTGCAGATCCAGCGCGTGCGCACATGCTGAAAGCACGGGCACAGGGAAGGCCCGCCGTGGCTCTGTCACGACGCCGGGAGGTCTGACTACCCAGACCCCCTCGTCAGAGCCCCGAATCATCAGGGGTAACTCGGGTCAGGGATAACTCGGGTTCGTTTTTCGGGAATCCAAACCCGAGTTACCCCGGACCCGAGTTATCCCGGATAACTCGGGCGTCCAGAGCCCCGAATCATCAGGGGTAACTCGGGTCAGGGCTAACTCGGGTTCCTTTCTCGGGAATCCAAACCCGAGTTACCCCGGACCCGAGTTATCCCGGATAAGTCGGGCGCCCAACCTCGCGTTATGAAGAAATCGCCACGGGAGGTGTTTCGCTGTTCTCGTCCTCCGGGGGGCCCTCCCGTGCCCCGGGACCGTCAGAAAGCGATCCAGGATGAAGAAACGGTTCCGGGGAAGGGGTCCAGACCTCTAGGGGTCGACGTGTCGAAAGACTCATTATGTCGGGGTCTAGGTAGTGTGTAGGCGGAGTCGGAAACCAACAGAGCATGTAGGTGGAATAGGTCGCCCCTGGCGCGGGGGGGAGGCCTGTCCAAGCATATGCGGGCCGCCACCGTCGCACCGTGTGCATCGCACCAGGGAGGCGTCGACCCTGGCACAGTGGGCGAGCCTTTTGCGTCCAGTCGGCGACGTGCCCGCAGGTGGGCGAGGCCAAGATCAGAGAGGCGCAGGACGACGGCGTGTTCGAGGCCGACACGGAGGCGCGCGCCCATCTCGAGGGGGCGGGGGGTGCGCTCCGTCGGGCGAGAGCGCGCTCTTGCATGGGCGCAGGAGGAGCTTCACGAGAGAGGGAGGGAGGGAGGGAGGGAGGGTGGAGGGGCAGGAGGAGTAGCAGGAGAGGGAGCAGGCAAGAGGAGGGAAAGATGAGCAGGAGGAGGAGGAGGAGCAGGAGGAGGCGGAGGCGGAGGCGGAGGAGGAGGAGGAGGAGGAGGAGGAGGAGGAGGAGGAGGAGGAGGAGGTGAACTATCATCCCACTCGGCACGAAAACGAGCACACTCAACAGCGCTGCAGCATACCCAGGACATTCTTGTCCTGGTGGCGTCGGCGATAGTTTCAGGCGACATGGGGGCTCGCCGAGCTTTGTTGACGAGCGACGTGTTGGCGCCGCTTCTCTCTTGGTGCTGCTGCTTCTGATCCTACATTCCCGTTCCCTTCGTCCCGTCCTCCTCCTTCTCCTCCTCCTCCTCTTCCTCCTCCTCCTCCTCCTCCTCTCGAAACCGGATTGCAGAGGGCGAGTAGTACGTTCTGCACGCCTGGCGCTGGCCGACGCGATCTCCCGCACCCGGCGGCCTCCGTCAGAGGGCCTGCGTGCTGCCGACCCGCCCGTCTCCTCTGCAGGGGCGCCGCTGCTCCCCTCGGGGCAGGCCCAGGACGAGGACACGCGTCGCTCCAAGGCAGCCCAGGATGATGACGACGTCATCGTCATCGTCATCGTCATCGTCATCGTCGTCGTCGTCGTCCTCGTCGTCCTCGTCGTCCTCGTCGTCCTCGTCGTCGTCCTCGTCGTCCTCGTCATCGTCACTGTCATCGTCTTCGTCATCGTCGTCATCGCCGTCTGTGCACCCCTGGGCCGCCCTCGAGCGGCCGCGGCGCCCGATGCGTCCTCTCCGCACCCGCCGGCTCGCAGATGCCCCGATCGGCCCTCCGCCGAAGCTCTGCCCCCCGTCCCCCTCGAGGAAGCGCAGGCGCGGCCCCGCGCGCGCGGCTCCTCGACGGGCCCCGCTCCCGTGCCGGATCGGCGCGCTCCGCCGCCAGACAGCGAGCGGCGCTGGCCTCGTGCCCCGGGTCGCGCCGTCCTCCGATCCGTGTGGATCTGGCGCCCGCGCGCCGGGTCCTCGGATCCGTCACCCATGTTGGCGTGCGCCCGCTGCTCCGCCACAAGAGCATAGACACAGACACCCTCCGCCAGATCGTTACTGGGCCTCAGGGGAGGGTGGCGGTGTAGAGTCAGCTCCCTGTACACACAGGGAGCTACATGCAACATTCGTCGGAGGGTGTCTGTGTGTAGATACATATATATATATATATATATATATATATATATATGTCTTCTTCGTGGCGCAGAGGTTTCGACCTCTTCCCTGGGACCGTTTTTTCGTCCCGAGACATTTTTGATGGTCCCGCGGGGCCCGGTAAGGACCCCCAGAGGCCGAAACTCGTGAAAAACCGACCGTCGTGATTCTTTCCTTGCTCGAGGGGGTCTCTGGGCAGCGTGCGCCCGACTCCTGCCTTCGCCTTGTCTGCCTGCTGCCTGCTGCCGCTCTGTGTATGTGTATGTGTTTGTGTATGTATGTATGTACGTATGCATGCATGTGTGTATGTACGTACGTACGTACGTGCGTGCGTACATATGCATGTATGTATGTATGTATGTATGTATGTATGTATGTATGTATGTATGTATGTATTTAGGTATGAATATATGTATACATGTATGTATGTATGCATATGTGCATGCATGCATGTATGCATGTATGCATGTATGTATGTATGTATGTATGTATGTATGTACGTATGCATGTATGCATGTATGTATGTATGTATGTATGTATATCTGTGTATATGTGTACATATGAGTGTATGCATGTATGCATGCATGCATGTTTCCATGCATGTATATATATATATATATATATGGGTATGTGTGTATATGTGTGTATAAATATGCATGTATGCATGTATGCATGCATGTATGCATGCATGCATGTATGTATGTATGTATACATGTATCTATGCATGCATGTATGTATGTATGTATGTGTGCATGTATGTTTGTATGCATGCACATGTATATATATACAGATATGCATACATGCATGTTTGTATGTATGCATGCATGTGTATGTATGTATGCATGCATGTATGTGTATATGCATGCATGCATGCATGCATGTATGTAGGTATGCATGTATGTATGCATGCATGTATGTATGCATAGTTATATGTATATGCATGCATGCATGCATGCATGCATGCATGCATGTGTGGCGGTGTGTATGGATGCATGTGTGTATGCATGTACGTATGTATGTATGTATGTGAAGATGTATTTGTGCATGTATATCTAGATGTATGCGTGTATGCACGTATGTATGCAGATATGCATGTATACATGGATGCACGTATGCATGTATGCATGTATGCATGTATGCATGTATACATGCATGTATGTATGCATGCATGAATGCATGTATGTATGTATGCATGCATGCATGCATGTATGTATGTATGTATGTATGTATGTATGTATGTATCTATGTACGCATACATGCATGCATGCATTGATGTCTGGCTGTCTGCCTGCCTGTCTGTATGTCTGTCTGTCTGTCTGTATGTATGTATGTATGTATGTATGTAGGTAGGCAGGTAGGCAGGCAGGCAGGTATGTATGTATGTATGTATGTAGGTATGTATGCAGGTAGGTCTATCGGTAGGTAGGTAGGTAGGTAGGTAGGTAGGTAGATCGGTAGGAAGGTAGGTCGGTAGGTAGGTAGGTAGGTCGGTAGGTGTGTAGGTATGTATGTTTCTATGTATGTGGCGTAGAATCCTGCCTTCGTCCCGTCTGCCTGCCCCTCCGCCGCCCCCTGCCTTTGTCCCGTCTGCCTGCCTGCTGCCTTTCCTGCTCCTCCTCGGCGTTGGCCTGCCCCCGCCCCCGCTGTCCGGCGGCGCCCCTCCTCGGCGGTGGCCTGCCCTTTGGGTCGGCGAGCCGGCCCTCCGCAGGTGGTGGCCGTGGCGGGCGGCCTCAGCTGCTGCCGGCAGGGAGGGTGGCAGACGGGGGGAGGGAGGCAGGAGGGAGGAGGAGGAGGAGGAGGAGGAGGAGGAGGAGGAGGAGGAGGAGGAGGAGGAGGAGGAGGAGGAGGAGGACCTTCCGCCCGCGAGCACAGGCCGATAGCAGCGGGCCCTTGGAGGAGGAGGAGGAGGAGGAGGAGGAGGAGGAGGAGGAGGGAGGAGGAGGAGGCAGGAGGAGGAGGCAGGAGGAGGAGGAGGAGGAGGAGGAGAGGAGGAGGAGGAGGAGGAGGAGGAGGAGGAGGAGGAGGAGGAGGAGGAGGAGGAGGATTCGTAGGCGGCTGTAGATGGGCCGCAGTCGATGATTCTGGGCCTCAGCTGCTGCTGGCAGCGAGGGAGGCAGACGGGAGGAGGGAGGCGGGAGGTCGGAGGTGGCAAAAGGTACCCATACAGGGCTTATTTCGATTCCCCCGATTCGTTTCGATTTCGATGGATTCTGATTCCGATCCGATTCGACTTGGGATTCCGATTCGGGTTCCGATTTCTCATTGGACGCATACAAGCCTGCCGATTTCCGCCGATTCGATTTTTTCCGACTCGGCTGCCGATTTCCGCCGATCCGATTCATGTGGATCGCCGATCCGACTTATTGATTCGATGCTGGGCTCTCTTGCCCATACCTCTCTATCCTTCCCTGGGTTTCTCCTTTTGGGGGCCTCCTGGGCGGCCAACGGTGGCACCTGCGGCCCAACACGTGCTGTCCCACTGTGGTTGCGGCTGCGGTGGCACGCGCCCCCGGCCCAGCATGTGCTGCTGGATTGCTGTTGCGGGTGCGGCTGCAGTTCTTGGCGCCCGCGGCCCGAAATGCGTTGCCGGATTGCGGTTGCGAGTGTTTGCGGCCCAAACTGTTTTGCCCAGATCCCGCGGCTCAAAATGTGTTGCCCAGCTGCGGTTGCGGATGCGGCTGCGGGTGCGGTCGCGTGCGCCAGCGGCCCAAGACGTGTTGCCCAGTTGCGCTCGGTTGCCTCGCTGCGGTTGCGGGTGCGTGGGGCCCGAGGCGTGTTGCCCAGCTGCGCTCGGTTGCCCCGTTGCAGTTGCGGGCTCGGTTGCGGGTGCGCGCGGCCCAGACCGTGATATGCCCAGTTGCAGGTGCGGGTGCGGTCGCGGGTGCGGTTGTAGGCTACCGCGCCCGCGGGCGTCCTCAAACGTGCTCCCCGTGCTGTCCGCCGACGTCGGTCAGTCAGTCAGTCAGTCAGCCAGTCAGTGAGCCAGTCAGTCAGTGAGTCAGTGAGTCAGTCAGCCAGCCAGTCAGTCAGTCAGTCACTCAGGCAGCCAGTCAGTGCAGTCAGTCAGTCAGTGCTGGTGCGGCTTTGGGTGCCCGCGGACCACAATGTCTTGCTCGGAGGGCTCCAACCCCATCGTCAAAAACACGTCAAACTGCAAGCTTTACCCTGAGATCCTCAAGGGCCGAGGGCAAAATCTATACCAGGGATGAGAGGCCCGTACTCTCGGATCCCCTCGCTTGGCAGCATCAGCCTTCGCCCTGAACTTGGTCTTCTTCCCTGGGGAGTGCCTGGGGTATGCCGTAAAAGCCGTTACAGTCAAGACGCTGAAATCAGGACCACTTGGGTTCAGCAGGGGCCCTAGTTTTCGGGCCTCTCCTTGGGTCTAGGTCGGGGACCTTCGTGGCCGCGGGTCGCCGTGGCCAGAGAGCCCTCCCGTGGCTTGCGTTGACCGTTGCTGGTGGCAGCGCGATGGCTGTAGGGAGTGGCATGCATGGGCCGCGGCAGCCGCTAGCTTTCTCAGCCAGACTGCTCTGAACGGCCTGCGTACTTCGGCGGCTCATGTTGGATTTGGGGAAGCAGCAATGACATAAACATACAAACTCAGAGGTCCGCGCGGATTTCTCGGATCGGCGCTGTATCCCCCTCCCTGGCGCGCGGAGCGCGCCAGGGGCGGCGCCGGAGGCGCCGCCAGAAGGGTCCAGCGCCGATCCGAGCAATCCGCGCGGACCTCCGAGTTCTTATGCTTATGTCGTTGTTCGTTCCCCTATGGATGTGGCGGGCGCTGGTGGTGGTGGTTTGCGGGGCAGCCATTCGGGGACGACTTGCGCGCACCGTTGCCGCGCTGGCGTCTCCCGAGGCGCCGTCGAGCCCCGACCCGGGAAGGGCGCGGGGGTCACAGCTCGTCGGCCCGCAGTGCCGAACAGCACACCAGCGTGCCGCGTCGGAGCGGGCCCTGGAGGCAGTGCAAGCCCGGTGCGGTGCACGGGCGCCGTGCTCGTGAAGGAGGAGGAGCCCTCGCCCTCCCTGGCAGCCTCGGCGCCCCAAATTAACCCGGGGCCCTGCCGAGGTCACCAGCGCCATCGAGGGCAGCGAGGAGGCGCAGGGCAAGCTGCAGGCGCCCTCTGGGGCTGGGCGGCGGCTCTCGCGCCGAGGGCGGCGATGAGCGAGGAGGGAAGGCGTAAGACGAGGAGGAAGGCGAGGAGGATCGAGATTCGAGGATCGTGGGTGATGGATCGATGATCGAGGATGGAGGTTAGGTGCTACTGGAGTGTCTTCGCTCTCGATGCGCCCCTCTTGGCTAGATGGATCTGTAAGGATGAGGGTGGGGATGAGACGGAGGTGGAGGCGGACGAGGACAAGGAATACAGCATAATCAGGTTGTTGTTTATGATGGTGAAATGGCTCAGGAGGATGAGTAGGGATATGAAGAGGATGAGGAGGGGGAGGAAGAGGAGGAGGAGGAGGAGGAGGAGGAGGAGGAGGAGGAGGAGGAGGAGGAGGAGGAGGGTAAGCAGGAGGAGAAAGAGGATGAGGAGGAGGAGGAGAAGGAGAAGGAAGAGGAGCAGGAGGAGGAGGAACGGGCGGAGGAGGAGGAGGAGAGGGAGGGTGAGGGGGAGGGGGAGGAGGAGGAGGATTAGGATGAGGAGGAGGAAGATGAGGAGAAGGAGGAGCGGAGGAGGATGCGGAGGAGATGGAGGGGGAGGAGTGGAGTGGAGCAGTCGCTATCATAGGGTGAGATCCGAAACTAACCTGAAGCCCTAGCCGCCTGCTGGGCTCGAGTCCGCGCCTTGGGCCATACGTACAGCTCTGCTGATCCGTCGGAGCTATTCCCGACGTTGCGGAAGACTGATACAAACACGGGGCCTTCACATTCTCCCGCAACAACTACAACATCCAACGCCCGAGGCTTTCGTGGTAGGCCATCTTGTGCTTCCCCCCCCCTCCCGCAATGCAAGGGTTGCCCAGGAGGAAGAGCAAGGCGTGCGGATCATCTCGAAGGAACGAGGATGAGAAGGGGAAGGAGAAGGAGAAGGAGAAGGATAATGAGGAGGAGGAGGAAGATGAGGAGGAGGAGGATCAGCAGGTGGGTGTGGAGGAGGAGGAGGACGAGGATGCAGGCGAAACCACATTAGGGTGGAGCACGAGAAGCTTGGGGGGGGGGGAGCGGGGACATCTTGAAGGGGATGACGACGAGGTTTGCGGAGGGAAAGAGGCAGAGGGAGAATCGGGGGTAGACGAATGAGGAGGGCAGAGACTTTGCAGGACAAGGCGGAGCGAGGAGGAGGAGGAGGAGGAGGAGGAAGAGGTGGATGAGGAGGCGGATGACGAGGAAGTAGAGAAACATGAGGAGGTGGAGGAGGAGCACGAGGAAGATCATGGGTCGGAGGAGGATGGTGAGGAGTCGCAAGTAGCGGATGTGTTGGGACACTGGATGATGAGTTTTGGGGGGAAGATGAATAGGAGTGTGAGGAAGCGGGGGGTCATCGACACATCGATTTACGGCGACAGGGACAGATGGAGGTGGAAGACGCGGATGATGATGATGACGATGATGATGACGATGATGTTGATGAAGATGATGATGCTGATGGTAATGATGATGCTGATGATGGTGCTGTTGTTGATGACGATGGTGACAGGGAGGAGGAGGATGAGGAACAGGAGGAGGGAGCGGAGGAGGGGGAGGAGGCGGAGGAGGCGGAGGCCAATTATAAGGATGCTAAGACGACGGACGAGGGGAGCCGTCGAGGCGTTTTCTGATGTTTTCGAACGGCGTCTGGGGCTTCGGTACATCTTTGTATGTGTCTGCAGTAGTCGATCGGCTTCTCGGATGCCCCTGGACATCGAAGCTTATGATGATGATGGTGATGGTGATGGTGATGACGATGTTGATGATGGTGATGATGATGCTGATGATGATGATGATAACGATGATGCTGCTGATGCTGATGATGCTGATGATGACGATGCTGATGATGATGATGATGCTAATGATGATGATGATGATGATGATGATGATGATGATGGCGATGGTGCTGATTGTGATGCTGAGGATGATCATGCTGATGATGCTGCTGCGGGGTTTTGTGGTTGATGATGATGCTGATTCCGCCGATGATGCTGAAGATGCTGGTGGTGATGCTGCTCATGATGTTGATGACGATGATGCTGATGATGATGATGCCGATGATGATGCTGCTGCTGCTGCTGCTGATGATGATGATGATGATGCAGGGTATGCTGCTGGGGTGGTTGTCATGGTGATGACGATGACGACGATGATACTGACGATGCTGACGATGACGATGATGCTGCTGATGATGATGCTGATGATGATGCTGATGATGATGCTGATGAAGACGAATATGATGATGGTGATGGTGATAATGATGGTGATGATGATGATGATGGTGGTGATGATGATGCTGCTGATGATGCTGCTGATGATGATGATGATGATGATGATGATGACGATGATGATGCTGATGATGATGGTGATGATGATGATTATTCGTATTTTTTATGATGATGCTGATGATGTTGGTGATGATGCTGCTGCTGATGATGATGATTAAGATGCTGCTGCTGCTGATGATCATGATGATGGTGACGATGCTGACGATGATGATGATGCTGCTGATGACGACGATGGCGATGATGACGAGGAGGAGGAGGATGATGATGCCAATGATGATGATGATGATGCTGCTGCTGATGATGATGATGATGATTTTGATGCTGATGATGATGATGATGATGATGATGATGATGATGATGATGATGATTATGCCAATGATGGGTGATGATGATGATGCTGATGATGATGCTGATGATGATGCTGATGATGCTGATGATGATGAGGAGGAGGAGGAGGATGAGGAGGATGAGGAGGATGATGAGGAGGAGGAGGAAGAAGAGGGGGAGGAGGAGGAGGAGGAGGAGGAGGAGGAGGAGGAGGAGGAGGAGGAGGAGGAGGAGGAGGAGGAGGAGGAGGAGGGTAGCCCCGCACACAGCCTCGTTGGCCGTGTGGCAGTTCGGCGGGCAGCGCTGGCAAGAGGTATATGTAGTAGAGGCAAGCCAAGAGTGTATCCGCGATGGGCAGGCCAGGAAAGAGAGCGGGTGGCGGCCGTAGCAGAGGCGAGTGGTTGTTTGGTCCTCTTGCCTCACGCGCTCTCCGCCGCGCATGGTTTGACTACGCGTACGAGTAACCCTTCGCTAGAGTGACCTTCGGTGCAGGCTCATGTGGGTCTCCCCCATGGCTGAGCGCGATGCGATAGCGGCTGATTGCGCTCTAGGGTTCGGCCACATTGCGTCCTTTTAGTCCGCGCGCCAGAGGTCTTTCTTGCCCAGGGTCACTCTTGCGTGTAGCCGACTGGTGGTGACAAGCTCTGGTGGTACAGGCCTGTCTCAGGGGAGAGAAACAGTCTCCGCTGCTTTCTGGGGCCAGGCTCCACGGGAGGGACCCCGCCCGCCTTACGGCGCTCTCCAATCTCTTGGCGCCGCCTCGCTGGCCGCCGCCCCAAGCCCGAGAGGCGGGCCCGGGCACCATCGTGTACAAGAGCCAGGTGCGGCACGAGGTGGCCAGCATGGCCTACAGCGCGAAGGAGCGCGCGGGCCCGGACTCCTCCTGGGATCCTGGCTTCGCATCTCCGATCGCGCCGGGCGCTCTCACCCAGCTTCGGGCCCTTGGGGCCCGCAGAGGGACCCAGCTGCAGACATGTTGCCGGAGGAGGAGGAGGAGGAGGAGGACGAGGAGGAGGAGGAGGAGGACCAGTGTAAACCCAAGAGTCATCAACGATGTTGGAATTAACCCTCCCTCCAAGCTCCCTCTTCATAGGCCCCTACAACGGTTCATTCCCATTGATGGAACTACCTCGTTGGAAGACAACCGTTTGAAGATCCTGAAGCATGCCATAGCATTGTTCTCGGGATTGTAACGCCGCGTATCAACCTGACTGCTGCGTCTTGACGATCCGGAGTCGCGCCAGAACACCATTTTGGGGATTTCAACACAGCGAACCAACGTAATTGTTGCACCCGCAGAGTCCTGAATGCTTCTCAAACGCCCTTTGTGGTACGTTGATCATGGCAATACGTGATGCACTTGCAATTTGTTTGAACGAATTTGCGCGGCGCTCAGGCGAGAGCTTCATTTTGAAAAGGAGCCGCCCAACATCCGTGAAGCCTTTGAAGTGTTTTAGAACGAATGCGCGCGGCGCTAAGGCGAGAACCACATTTTGAAAACGACCCGTCCTCAATCCGTGAAGCTCTGACAAACTTTTAAAGCGAATGTGCGCGGCGCTAAGGCGAGAGCCACATTTTGAAAACCACCCGCAAGCGATCCGTGACACTCTGACACATGTTTAAAACGAGTGTGCGCGGCGCTCGGGCGAGAGCCACATTTTGAAAACGACCCGCCCTCAATCCGTGAAGTTCTTGCAAACTTTTAAAACGAATGCGCGCGGCGCTCAGGCGAGAGCCACATTTTGACCCCCCCCTCAATCCGTGAAGCTCTTAGTGCAAATGTTCAAAACGAATGTGCGCGGCGCTCAGGCGAGAACCACATTTTGAAAACCACCCGCCCTCAATCCGTGAAGTTCTTGCAAATTTAAGAAACGAGTGTGCGCGGCGCTCGGGCGAGAGCCACATTTTGAAAACGACCCGCCCTCCATCTGTGAAGCTGTTGTTAGTTTTATTTAAAGTTTTAGAGTCATAAGCGGTGTGGAAGTCTCAGGCGAAACGCCCAGCCCGCCCTAAAAACCGGCTTCGGGGTGCGACAGGGAGAAGTTATTCATAAGGAGAAGGAATGGAGGAAGAATCGGAGGAGGAGTTGCAGAACGAGGGAGTCTAGGGCTCTTGTCGCGTCCTGCCACGCCGCTGCATTGTTCCGCGACGTCGGACCTCGGGGTCGGGCGGCTCCATGTTTTCCGTCCCGGTGCACCTCGGCCTGCAGGGCGTCTTCCGCCCCGGGGCGAGCAAACATGGATCTGAGTCGAAAAGCTGCTACGGGGGGGAAATGTTTTTCGAAGAGGCAAAAGCACACCATAAGCATGAGCTTTTGGCGTTCCGCGCGGATTTCTTGGCGCCGTGTTGGGCCTCCCCCCCCAGGCGGCGCCTCCGGCGCCGCCCCTGGCGCGCTCCGCGCGCCAGGGAGGTGGGTCTGGCGCGGATCCAAGAAATCCGCGCGGAACACCAACAGTTTATGTTTATGCCGTTTTTTCTTCTAGTCTTGAGACCCTCTGGAACCCGCGGATCTAAACATGGGGGGTAAAGGCGCACTCTCCAGATCCGGGTGTCATGGAACAGTGAATGTCAACCTGTGATTAACAAGTGACGACCCCACCGGGGCTGATGAATAGACCTCGCGGGGAGCGAAACATTTTTTTAATCACGCGCGCCATGGGGTCGTCGCGGGCACCGCCGAAGGGATCGTGTACCCCCCTGCATGACAGCCTCAAAACGATTGCCTTTCGTATAGAAGTTGTTACAAAGGGTCGTATACATCCGAGGCGAAATTATTTTCTGTCTCAGGCGCCGTCGTCGTCGTCGTCGTCGTCGTCGTCGTCGTCGTCGTCGTCGTCGTCGTCGACTACAGCGGGCATGCGCAGCCCCCCCTTCCCGCACAGGGCATGGGCATCCGCAGTGCGTCGTCGTCGTCGTCGTCGTAGTCGTCGTCGTCGTCGTCGTCGTTGTCGTCGTCGTTGCGTCGTCGTCGTCGTCGTCGTCGTCGTCGTCGTCGTCGTCGTCGTCGTCGTTGTCGTCGTCGTCGTCGTCGTCGTCGATCGAGTACAGTGTGGGGCCTGCGGAGCCCCCCCCGTGCGGCATTCGCAGTGCGTTGTCGTCGTTGTCGTCGTCGTCGTCGTTGTCGTCGCTTGGCAAATCCCCGCTTGGCCACGCCCCCCTTTCGTCCAGCCCGTTTTATTCGCGGGCCCGCGAGGCAGCTGGCGCCCCCGTGGCTGCGGCCAGGGCAAAAGAAGCGCGTCGGTTCGACAAAAATGGGCACGGAAAGTGCGGGGGCGAGCGCCGACAGCAGTTTTTCTTCATTTCGAATAGCTGTCGCCCTGGCTCACGGTCCCTGCTTCTGCCGCCCTTGCCTCCCGCCCCCCCCCTGTCTGTGCTGTTTCTGTCGCCTTCTCGTTGGCGGCCGGGCGTCGGCGTTAATCACCGGCGCCGCCGCCGTTGATTTTCAATTTGGCGGGCGCCACCCCGCGATTCGTCCGAGCAGGGAAGCTATTTTGTGAAAAACGCGGAACCCACGGATTTGTTAATCACAAGCTGACACGGCGGGTGCCTTTGCTGCCGCTGGTTCGCGGCCCCTCGTGGCCCCCCCCCCACGTGGCGATCTGGGCCAGGAGTTGCGCGCAAACATGTTGTTGGGGACTCCATCGTGTTTCGCGTAAGTTTTGGTTTCGCAGCGACGTTTTCTCGTATTGTTTTTGGATTCGCGACGTCAGATTTCAGCAGAGAGCACGGTGGCGTCTGCAACCATATGGCAGTTGTAGCGATCACGTGAATAGGTATTGGGGATCGGAGGAAGAATGGGCGATACGTACGGGTGAGCGTGAGCAGGAAAGGAAGGATGAAGGTCAGATGAGCAGGGGCGGGGGATGATTACGCGGATGCTCGTGATGATTTTGCCGATAACGAACACATAAGGCAGAACCGGATGGCGAAACGAGCTTCATGCTGTTGAAGAAATGGAAGTTTTTGATGATGATGTGATTGTGATGGTGATGTGATGACCGGTTATGCTGGATATGTTGATTATGATGCGGATGTTGCTCTTATTCATGATGGTGATGATGATATCGCCCCGCGTGATGGTGATGTTGCCGACGACGAAAGTTATGATGACGAGAAGCAGGATCAGGAGGACTGGCTTGAAAAAGGGTCCCAAAAGAGAGGGAGAGAGAGAGAGAGAAAGAGAAGGAGACAGAGAGAGAAATATAACTAGAGAAACAGCACTATCACTTTTCCTTGCTCGGTGTAAGAGGCTCTACGTATATAGCACTATGTATGTATGTTTGTTTGTATGTATGGATGTGTATGTAAACATGTGTGTATTATACATACATATATTGCAAGACGCACACACACGCACGCGCGCTGTTCGGGATTCATGTACGCTTTCAGCCCTTGAGCCCACGGAAGTCCCGCGGCAAAGTATCATATGCCGTGACGCCACATTGTGAGGGGTTGTGGCTTTGCTTTCTCAGCCTGCCTTCTGCATTGTGCGCGCCAGTGCTGGGGTAGTGTCACGAGTATGGGGTGTTCGATCGCCCGAGCAACAGCACCCCCACCGTAACCGACGGTCCCGCCGAGGATGCGAGCTCCGGTGGTCGGCGGGGACGGAAGCTGCAGTGTTCCTGTTTCGATGCTTTGGGAATTACCCCCAGCAGGAGTCACATCTCGGTTGAGCCTCCGGGTGAAGCGGGTGTGGAATCCCATGCCTTGGCTTTTACAATACAGGCTACCCAGAAGTCCACCTTTTCCTTATAAGACCCAACAGACCCGCTTTTCACCCTCAGTCGTTTTTCGCAGCCCCGGGGCCCGAAGGCGGCCCTCGGAGTCCGAACGCGGCCATAAACTTCTGCTGTTTTTTTTCGAGACGTTGGATGTCTGGGCATCCAGTCGGGCCACATCCAACTGTCGAAGCCCCCGATCCTCCACCCTCTGCAAAGGGTCCACTTCGATCCGATCGATCCGATTTCGATTTCGACTTCAGCAGGTCCGGTCCGATTCGATTCCGATGTGCTGGCTATTTGGTTGGCCCGATGCTTGCGTGGCGCTGCTGTGCGTCCTGGCGCGCCCGATGCGATTCAATGTCGACTGCGTGCAGATGCTGCTCGATCGGACGCACACTCCGATCCGATCCGAGCTCGCGACTCGATGCTGTCTGCTACTGCTGCCGTGACCATGAATGAGTTCGGGTGTTGCTAGAAGTGCCCCTGGGTGCCCCCAGCATTTCGCTTCATTTTTGAGTCCCTGGAGCCCTCTGGGCCTCGTGAGGGGTGCTCTGGAGGCCGTGCTGGCCTCCTTGGAAATCCTGGGGCGCCTTGCGCCAGGGGCACTTCTGGCAGCACCCGATGAGTTCAGCCCGGACGGTCCGGCCGCTCAGAGAAGGGGGGGGGGGGGCGTTCAGGGATGACCCCCCAGGGCGCCATTCGTGCGGGCGTCCTTTCCGAGGATGGACGCCCCCCCCCGTCGTGTATCCCTGAGCTTGGACCAGAATTTCTGGCCCAGTCGAACACCCGAATAGGTTGGGGATTGGGGGTCGCCATATACCCCCCCGTCAACAAGCTGCCTGGCCAGATGGCCAAGGCAGACCCTCTGGGCTTCACGGAGCCCGGGTGGGAAGGGCGCACTCTGCAGGAGGGTGCCAGGGGCAGCAGGGCGTTTTTTTCTTCGGGCCGGGTGTCCACAAGCTGGTGGCCGCGCACTGTGCACGCCTTCTCGAAGCTTTCAGCAATGAGTGCAAGAGGGGGAGAGGAAGAGGAGGCGCAAGAGGAGGAGGAGGAGGAGGAGGAGGAGGAGGAGGAGGAGGAGGAGGAGGAGGAGGAGGAGGAGGAGGAGGAGGAGGAGGAGGAGGAGGAGGAGGAGGAGGAGGAGGGGAGGAGGAGGAAGGAGGAGAACGAGGAGAAAGAGGAGGAAGAGGGGGAGGAGGAGGAGGAGGAGGCGGAGGAGGAGGAGGAGGAGGAGGAGGAGGAGGAGGAGCACAAGAAGGAGCAGGAGAAGGAGGAGGCGGAGGAGGACGAGGAGGAGGACAAGCAGGAGGAGGAGGAGGAGAAGGAGGAGGAGAAGGAGGAAGGGGAGGACGAGGAGGAACAAGAGGAGGAAGAGGAGGAGAAGGAGGAGGAAGAGGAGGAGGCGGAGGAGGAGGAGGAGGAGGAGGAGGAGGAGGAGGAGAAGACAATAATTACTGAACGGCGACGAAGGCTGCAGCAGCGACGACGACGCTGGCGACGGCGGCGACAGCGGCGACGACGACAAGGACCTCTTCTCCTCGAAGCTGAAGAGGGCCGCCACGCAGGAGCCGCCCACGCCTTCAACTGAAGCTCAGGGGTGTGTCGGACGAGCCCCAAGATCTTGGAGTCGCATTTTTTTCCACTGGGCGTTCTCCCCTGGATTCGGGCCCCGGGGCCTTCGCAGACCGATCTGGCTCTAGGACTGCCGTAGACTGATGGGTCAGGAGCTCCGGTCGTGACTTCGACGATGCTGGTGTTTCGTGCGCTTTTGCTGGTGCTCTGCCGTTTTCTGGTCTCTGGATGCCTCCAGCAGCTGCGCCTTGCCGAGAGCGTGCCGGGGGAGCCCGAGTCGTCCCAGACGGCGGCCAGAGACCCAATTTGTGGACCGAAAGCCAGACGACGAGGACACTCGAGCGGGGCGAAAGGGGAGGGGGGTGAGAAGCGGGGGTGCGAAATCTGCTGCATGCTTGGTCTCAGTCCCGCCGCCCAGCACCTTTCCTCGATGGGCCGTTTCTGGCCCTGGGAGGCTCCCGGGCATCCAGCTGCACTTGCAGCCAACCCGCACAGTAAGGATGAGCAACTGTCCCAGGTTACCCTCGCATCCTTCCCCTTCGGCCCATCCTTGGCCGCTTTCGCTGGCAGCGCCCCGCTCGCGAAGTGTCGACATGGCATTCCAAGGCCCTTGCATCCTTACCGCGCATCCTTACTACACGGTTTGGCTGTGGGGGCGGAGGGGTTTCGTCATGAGCCGAAGGCACCGGGAACGGCACGACTATGAGACGTACGCCTCTGGAGGTCCGCGCGGATTCGGGGGTCGGCGCTTGACAACTCCGGCGGCGTCCTTGCCGCTGCCCCTGAGCGTGTTTCGCGCGCCTTGGGAGGCGGGTCCAGCGCCGACCCGAGGAATCCGCAAAGACCTCCCAAAGCGTGCAAAGACCTCCCAAAGCATATGTTCATGTATTTTTGTTCACCTCCAGTCGTAGAGAAGAGGGGTCCTCGAGCTTTGCCGCCGTCTTCGGGCTCGCGGGGTCCTCGGCGCGGCCCGGGCCATGAGGCCGTGTGACAGAAGCGACCCAAGATACGCAGACCTGTTCCCGGGGGGGAGCCCTGGAGCTTGTTTTTCTTCAGGCTCAGGCAAATTTACTTGCGTGGCGTTCCCCCCCTTGCCCCTCTTCAATCGAATACGAGCGTGCAAGTGCCCTTCGACTTGCGTGATCTCCGCACGTCAAGCCGTTTGCGGATTGCTTCAGGGTCAGGCCCCCCCCTCCGTCCGTGCAAGTAACTTCGCCAGAGCCTAAACAAAAAACAAGCTCCTGGGGACCCAGGCCCGTTGCCTCCGGGACCCGCTTAGCCCTCGTGCCGCCCAGCGCCGCGGAGACGGGCACCCAAGGCAGGCAAGCGGCTGGGACGAGCCGCTCCCGCGCGGGCTGGCGCAGGCATGCCGCACCGATCAGAGTCCCCGGCTGCTGAGTTAATTGCCCATCGGGGTGCCGCCGAGCTAAGGAGAGGGGGTGGACAGGGTCCAGGCAGGGCCCATCTCGCTCCGACCGATCTGATTCGGTTTCGGTCTCTCGGCTGGTTCGATCTGGTTCGAGTCCGAGTCTCCGGCGACCTGATCTTGCTGGATATTTGCGCGGCATTGCTGTGCATCCCGCCGCGGCCGAGTCGATCCGATTGCGACTCGGTGTCGACGCGGCCCGCTCCGATCCGATCCAGTCGATCCGTTGCTGACTGCTCCTGCCCGGGAGAGCGCGGCCTCTGTGGTTTGTGCCCGTCGCGACGGTTGGGCAGAGCTCAGTCCTCGTCTGCTCCCTCGCGGCTCACGGGCGGCGAACATATCCGTGTCCGCGCCCTGTCGATCTGGGTTCCGGGGGCGCGACCCTTCGGATGCGCGGTCGCACGGATGCACGTCTCGCGCGGGGCATCCGCGAACGACCGCCTCGTGTCCGCGGGGATCACGGCCCATGGGGCATGGGGCCTGGCCCGCGAGGCCGCGGATACGGATGCAGTCGGACCGAGGTAGGTATGAGATCGAGGCCGGTTCGGGGAGGGGTACCTTCGTGTTCTTCGTGCCTGTTGGGCGTTCTTCTCTCGCGCGGGGCAGCCGCGAGCAGGCGCCCCGTGTCCGCGGGGGTCACGGCCCAGAGGGCCTGGCCGGCGAGGCCGCGGACACGGATACGTTTTGTCCGACCGCACTCGGCTCTCGGCCCGGGCCCGTGGGCTGCTTCGGCCGTGGCTTCGGCTAGCGCACGCGCCGATGTGAGGCCGCGGTGCCGCGCGCCCTGCCCACGAGGGCACGGGCACGCGGCACACGCCCATCCCTGCCACAGGGCCTCTGTGTGTGTGCCCAGCACTGGCGCCGCTCCCCATCCACAGGCTCCGCTCTCGAGGGCCGAGCCTCGCCGCACGGGGCTGACAGAGCCAGGCCTTGCCCTGTCCCTGCTCGGCCGGCGCTCCAGAAGACAAGACCTGCCTGGCCTGAAGTCGGGCCTGCCCCTCTGCAGGAGGAATGTTCAAACATGGTCAAGCAAACAGTCTGGGTACGATTTTTCGACTACCCTGGAGTATGTTTAAAGATTCTTGGAGTACGCTTTATTTTCCGTCTACAATCCGCCTGTATGGGGGACGCGCCCGACCTCGTCCTGGCCGCCCGCTCGCGGCCCGCCCGCTCTCCAGAAGACCTGCCTGGCCGCCATCCGGTCGCTGCTGTGGAACCCCCCGGCGGTGCTGCCGGTGCTGCCCGCCGTGCTCATGCTGCTCGACGAGGCGCGCCTCCCGAGCGGCGGGGCAGAGGCGCCCGTGGGCCAGTCCACGCACAGTCGAGCATCCGATTGGGGAACCTCCTCCCGACGAGCTGCCGAGCGGTCTCGCAGCTTCCCGGCTTGCTTATCATCTAGGCCCACCCAAGAGAATGGTCTAAGAGCCTTCGGTGGTCTGCACGAGATGTTCTTGGAACATTTCTGGCTGAGACTGTGTTGTTGTGACGCATCGGGCTTATGTTCTAAGAACGCTGCTTTTGTTCTTAGGACATCTCTGGGTTCTAAGAACATGTCATGGTAGGCCTATCGGAATGCCAGGACGGCCGGCATCTGCTCAACACCTCCTCCCGACGAGCTGGGACAGCATTTCTGGACCTTTTTGGCGCAACGCTGGGCCAGTTCCTCGCGCGCGTTCTCCCCTCCAGAGTTCACAGGAGCAGTTGGCCCAGGTTCGTCTCAAGCCATTTCTGGGAAGCTGGCCCAGATGTCTTACGTGAGAAGTTTCTCGATCCTCTTGTCGGCTGTCCCCGAAGAAGCAGAACAGCGCCACGAGCGGAACTCATCGGAAGCCCGCGCGGACCCCCGACAGTTTGTGCTTCTGCAGCTTGCATGGTCCTCCCGTGTGCAGTCAAGACGCCGAAGAAGTGAGGGCCACCTCGGGCTCAGCATGGGGCTCTGGCTTTCGGGCCGCTCTCCAGATCGGCGCCGCCGAGCCGACTCGTGGCCGAGGCTCGCCGTGGCCAGGAACGGCCTTGGGCTCCTCCTTCGGAGCTCCTGACGGTCGCGCGACGAGTGTACCTCCCACCCCCGTTGTCTCGAGATGGAGCGCTTCCGATCGGACCCCGCCGCCGCGCCGCCAAGGGCGCGCGCGAGCGGGTCCCGGCTCGCTCCTGATGCGCGCGGGCCCAGGCGGCTGTAGGCGGAGGGGAGGAGGAAGCCAGCCTTAAGTCGGGCATGTCCCTCTACAGGAGGAAAGCGCACGAGTAGTAAGAAACGGTTTGGCGACGATGTTTCGTGCTCTTGTGCCTATTTCGGGGGACCTTATTTTGAGTATTGGTTTGGCATTCTGCCCAAAATCCGCCTGTAGGAGGACACGCCCGAACTGCAGCCAGCCGGAGAGTCTGGAAGACGCCGGGCGGCTCGGGCGCTTGGAGCGGGGTCTGCTCTCGGGGAGCCCGTGCGCCTCCTCTCGGGGGAGCGTAAGACCCGGGTTTGCCGGGACTCGGGTTCGCCATCGTTTTTTGACGACCGCGACTCGGATTTTGACGAGGAGGAGTTTCGTGGGATGTCTGCAGCGGGAGGCCTCGTCAAAATGCAGGCTCGGCCTCGTCATTTTTTTGACGACCTCGTCGGGGATTTCCGAGTCCCCCGTACCCGGGTCTTACGTCTCCCCGATCCTCTCCCCGTCGCCCTTTCGCCCTCGTCTCGTCGCTCGTCGTCCCTGTCCCTCGCTCTCCCTTCCCTCCGAGCTCCCTCCGGATTCGGACCAGGCCTCCTGGGCGCAGTCCACGCGCCACGCCCGTCGTCGCTCTCGGCGGGAGGCGCTGCTGGTCCTTCTCGGCGGAGGCGGAGGCGGAGGCGGAGGCGGAGGAGGAGGAGGAGGAGGAGGAGGAGGAGGAGGAGGAGGAGGAGGAGGAGGAGGAGGAGGAGGAGGAGCAGGAGGAGGAGGAGGGGCCCTGAGGGAGAGGTCCCGGCTATACTGTGCTGGCCGAGCGCCCTGCATCGGAGGGCGATGGTGCCCAGACGCCCAGCGCCTCGACGGGAACTCCCCGACGGTGGCTTTCGGGGGGGCCGCCCGTGGGCCCCGGGGGCCGTCACAAGACGGCTCAGGGCGAACGGTTGGCCCGGGTTTAGGAGGAGGAGGAGGAGGAGGAGGAGGAGGAGGAGGAGGAGGAGGAGGGGAGGATGGAGGAGGAGGAGGAGGAGGAGGAGGAGGAGGAGCAGGAGGAGGAGGGCTCCTGAGGGAGAGGTCCCGGCTATACTCTGCTGGCCGAGCCCCGCATCGGAGGACGCTGGTGCCCAGACGCCCCGCGCCTCGACAGGAACTCCCCGACGGTGGCTTTTGGGGGGGCCGCCCGTGGGCCCTCCTCCTCCTCCTCCTCCTCCTCCTCCTCCTCCTCCTCCTCCTCCTATTCGTCCTCCTCCTTCTTCCCCCCTCCAATTTATGGTGGTCGGGTTTCCGTCGCTGCCTTCCGCCTCTCGCGGGGCCCCTCTTCGGGCCCAGGGGCCGCCAGGAGGAGCGGCTCGGGGGGAGCAGCCGGGCCCAGGGGAAGGGGTCGGGGGGCCCAGCTCCGGGGGCCTCGCGCGGAACAGTGCGCGTGGCCTCCTAGGACGCCTCCCGCCCCCCCCCCCCCCACTTCCTGCCCTGCCGCGGGGCCCTGCCCTGCCCTGTGGCTGCCGTGGTTGCCCTGCCGGACATCCAGGGCCTCGACAGGATCGAGGCGGCCAGTCCGTCGCCGTGTCTCGCGTCTGGAGGCCAGCTTCGGGCCTCGGGCCCGTCCACAGGACGACTGGGGATGCAAGGCTGGCCCTGGGTAAAGGGGGTCGGTATAGGCCCGGTGGCCCGCGCATCCTCGAACACATCGAAACACTGGGCGTCTGGCCCCCCGCCTTCGGCCCCCGCTCGCGGGCAGGCGCCCTCTTGCGCCGCGGCCCCTCCCCGAGACCTGGGCGTCGCAGTTCTTCCACACCCCGGGCGTTTCGGCCTGTCGCTGGGTCCCCGGGGCCGCGGCGCGTGGCCCGGCGCAAGGCATGCCGCAGAAAAAGAGGGGGGGCCGAGGGCTGCAGCTGCGGTGGTCCACGATGCTGCAGTTGGTCTGCGACGTCGGCTTGCCGAGCGCGCTTCGCGCCTCCCCCTTTGCCTCTCTTCTTTCCCGTCCCTCTCTTCCCCCTGTGGTCCCTCCCCGCCTGGGGGCGCGTGAGGTGCGCCGCGCGACCCTTCTGATGTCTGGGCCAGGGGCACTTCGCCCGCACGCTCGCGCAGGCTCTGCCGGCATCTTTGAGGAAGCCCAGCCGTACAATCCGGGGAGCTGCCTGGGCCGCCGCGCATCTCCCCGGATGGGCCCGGGCCCCCGGCGGGCACCGTGCCGGGTCCAGCGTCGATCCCATCCGTCCGATCGATCCGATGCGATGTATCGGCCCTGGCTGGCCCGGCCGGATATTCGATTTCCGGTGTTCGGGCGATCCGATGCGACCCGATGCTTGCACGACGCTGTCAGTTTTCAGTCGGGCCTGTCCCTCTACAGGGGGCAGGGGGAATATTCAAAAATAGTAAGAAAATAGTGTGGGGACTTTTTCAAACCCATTTGGGGGTATTTTTGGACTATCTTTTTATTTGTCGTCCAAAATCCCCCTGTAGGGGGACACGCCCGACCTAATGTTAGTTGTGCACCCTAGCGCCGCCGATCCGATCCGAGTCCGACCCCGAGCCGATGCGGTCCGATGCGATGCGCGTGCCGAGCTGAGCCGATCTCCCGGCTCGATGCGCTGACGGTTCCTGCCGTGAGCCGGCTTCACCCAAACATGCTATAATCGACTACTTAGACGAAAGAGTGACCTTTCGCCGGAGTGACCTTTGGTGCGGGCACAGATGGGTCCCCAGCTGGCTGAAAACGAAGCAGGAGCCACGGCTTGCCTGCCCAGGCTTGGTCCCCACGCGGCCCCCCAAAGAGCCGCGCACCTGAGGTCACTCTTGCCCAGGGTCACTCTTGAGTGTCGCCGATATGAGGCTACGCCGTGACAGAAGCTCGCCACTTTCTGTGTGGGGGCATCGGGAGGAGAAGGAGGAGGAGGAGGAGGAGGAGGAGGAGGAGGAGGAGGAGGAGAAGGAGGAGGAGGACCCCAGAGGCCGAGCAGGGGTGATGCAGGTCTCGTCTGTTACTTCCGCGCGGGTGGGCGGGCGCAGGCGGACCCCCTGTCCCGATCGCGCCACGCTGCCCCCCCCCTCCGCTCCCCCCTAGAATCCCAGCGGGCTTGGTCAAGAGCGATCGGATCAAAGATCCGGGATTTCTGAATCCGGGATTTTTTGTGTAGATCCTCCCTCCTCTCCCCCACCTTCCCTTCCTCCCCCTCCTCCTTCCCCTCCCCTTCCATCCATCCTCCTCCTCCTCCTCCTCCTCCTCCTCCTCCTCCTCCTCCTCCTCCTCCTCCACGTCCCCCTCCCCCTCCCCCCCTCCTCGTTCGACTCCTCCAGGGCGCCACGGTTGGTGGCCGACTCCCGCGATCTCGTTTACGGCGGCGTGACGAACGCTCCTCTGAAATGAAATTTCGAGGCTGCGTGTTCCCTGACCTTGCCTTTGCCCCTCTCCAAAATGGCATCAGCCCACCTTTCCGACCCCCCCTTAGAACTCTGACAAGAAGAGCCTCGTCGGGCTCCCCCCAACGGCGGGATAATTTGGCCCTTGGGGTCCTGGTGCTCACTGGTAGTCTAAGTTAGATCCCGCGCGGCAGTAATCCCGTTCTCCCGTTAATTTGTCATGTAAAAAAACATTTTTGTTCCAGATCCCGGCCCAATAATCCCATTGGTTTCCCAAGTGCGAAACAATATCCCTGGGTCTTCCCGACTTCCACCCTTCGATGGTGTCGGGTTTTGTCTTTGCATTTCAGAGGAAACTCTTGCCACGGCGAAGTAGCCGTGAGCACGGACCGTCAGTGCCAATTCTTCTCTCTTTCTTCTCCCCGCCCCCCCTCTTCTTCTCCCTTGCTCGTCCTTCTTCCCCCTTCCTCCTTCTCCCTCCCACTCCCTCCCTCCTCTCCCCCGCCCCCCTCCTCCCCCTCCTCTCCTGTCTCCCTCCTCCCTCCTCCGTGGTGCTCACGTTGGCCGTAGCCTCACACAGGAACCCAGAGTGCATCCCGGGCTCCGGCCCAACCGCCGTGCTCTCACGGGGCTGTCCCTCGGGACGCATACGGCGCCTCGCCCTCTTTCTCGCCAGGTTTCTTCATTCCTTGAAGAGCCGTTCTATACATGCCAGCCCTCGTGCAGGTGTGGAGTCATAGGGGAAGGTGCTCGCCAGAGTTTCTGTCTCCCGCTCTGCGGCCGATCTTGTGGGGTTCAGCTTGAGTCCGCCCAGGACGATGGCGCTACTGAGCTGCACCTAGCATTCGAGAAACGTCCTATTCAAGGAGTCGCCCCCTTACCCCCCCGCGAAGGGCTTCCCTTCTTCTTCCTTGCTCTTTCTTTTCTTCCTTTTTAGTGTGCGCTCTTGGCGACTTCTTGTGTGACCTTCCCAGCTTGCGCGCTGGTCGTAGGTCCTACGACGTGGTGCCAATTGTGCTTTGCATCATGGGAACAGCACCCCTCCGCAAAGGCGAAGATCCTCCTCCTCCTCCTCCTCCTCCTCCTCCTCCGCCCTCCTCCTCCTCCTCCTCCTCCTCCTCCTCCTCCTCCTCCTCCCCCTCCTCCTCCTCCTCCTCCTCCTCTCCTCCCTCCTCCTCCTCCTCCTCCTCCTCCTCCTCCTCCTCCTCCTCCTCCTCCTCCTCCTCCTCCTCCTCCTCCTCCTCCTCCTCCTCCTCCTCCTCCTCCTCCTCCTCCTCCCCCCCGCGAAGGCGAAGATCAAGAAGGAGGCCGAGAGCCTCCTCAGAGACCTGGTCGCGTGCGGCCCCGCGGGCAAGGCCGCCGGGCCCCGGGGCGCCCCCGAGATCCGGCCCGCCGCTCCCCCCCCTCGTCGCCGCGGGCGCGCGTGGGGCGCCCGCGGCAGGGCGGGTCTGGGCGCCGGGCTTCCGCGCAGGTGTCCTCGGGGAGGAGGAGGAGGAGGAGGAGGAGGAGGAGGAGGAGGAGGAGGAGGAGGAGGAGGAGGAGGAGGGATTAGGAGGAGGAGGAGGAGGAGGAGGAGGAGGAGGAGGGAGGAGGAGGAGGAGGCGGAGGAGGAGGAGGAGGAGGAGGACCAAAACAGGGCCCGGACACCCTCCCAGAATTCCCCCCCTTCGGGCCCACGACATTCTTGACCCTTTCCGAAGCCCCCCAGGCCTCCCCGCCTCTCAAACAGCTCCAGAGGCTGCCGAGAAGCGACCAATCTGAGTGGCCTGACAGGGCCGAAGACGCCCGAATAAGACGGTTCAAGAGGCCCCGAAGACGTCCTAAGAAGGCTCCAATATGCGCCCCGAGAGGGCCCCAGGAGGCCAAAATTGCTTCGTCCATTAAGCAAGCAATGTGATTCGCGACGGAATCATCTTTGTGCAATCATGTGTAGAGCAGACCGCGGGTCTCTCTTCACACACCTCGCGCCGCGGGGCAATGCGGAAAGATGGCTGCTGCGGAGCACGCGTGCACGAGTGCGAATTGTGGGGCGCGGTCCGCGTGAACGGTGTGCCGAATATTTTGGATGCCCCCGCGCGAACACGCCCCTTGCGAGAGGTATGTTCCGAAATGGGCGGGGGGACGCCACAGGGGGAGCTCCTTCTGGAGAATAATTCGCGTGACGGGTGTGCCGACATGGGCTGGGGTACGTTGTGCGCTCCTTATCTCTGGGCCTTTAGGTGGTGTTTCTTGTTGGCACGATCCGCGTGATGGGGTGTGTTGCAATGGAGGGGGGGGCGCAGTGTGAACCCTGCCTCTGGGGTCGTAAGAGGCGATCCTTGTGTGCCACGATCCGTTTGAGAGCTGTGCCGGAGTAGGCGGGGGAGCGGGATGCGATCCTTGTCTGGGGCTGTCCGTGGATTTGTTTTGCGGGCCACGATCCGTGTGAGAGGTGTGCCGCAGTGAGCTGGGCGACGCTAGGAAGCTTCCCTCTGGTGCCACAACGCAGTTATCTGCGGGGCACGATCCGCAGGACGGGCGTGCCATTCTGCGAACCTGGTCTCTGGGGACGTAGGTGGAGCTCCCTGTGGGGCGCAATCCCTGTGAGGGGTGTGCCGACATGGGCGGGGGGGGCGCTAAGCCAAGCCTGCCTCTGGGGCCGCGGGTGAAGCTCCCTGAGGGGCACGGTCCGTGTGACAATACGTAGCACCCCGCAAGTGCGGATAAGAGTGAGGGGGCGGGCGCGGGCCACGCGGGCGCGGGAGTGGAAGGAAATCAAAAACAGCCCGCCGCAGACGCCGAACATTTTGATTTGTACACTGAACGCGGTTTGGGTCGCAGGTTCTCCACCTGGAGCGAATGCAAAAGAAACCCGCCGCAGGCGCCGAATTCAGTTAACGTAGTTTGGGTCGCGGGTGGGTCGTGAGCTCTCCACCTCCACCTGGAAGGAATTCAAAAACAGCCCGCCGCAGGCGCCGAAGATTTTGATTTGTACAGTGAACGCGGTTTGGGTCGCGGGTGGGTCGCAGGTTCTCCACCTGGAACGAATGCAAAAGAAACCCGCCGCAGGCGCCGAAAATTTTGGGTGGGTCGCGGGGTGGGTCGCGGGTGGGTCGCGGGTGGGTGGCGGGTGGGTCGCGGGGTGGGTCGCGGGTGGGTCGCAGGGTGGGTCGCGGGTGGGTCGCGGGGTGGGTCGCGGGTGGGTCGCGGGTGGGTTGCGGGTGGGTCGCGGGGTGGGTCGCGGGTGGGTCGCGGGGTGGGTCGCGGGTGGGTCGCGGGGCGTGTCGCGGGTGGGACGACGACAACAACAAACAGCAAACAATTCAACAACAAACAACAAACAACAAACAACAAACAACAAACATCATCAACAGCAACAACAACAATAATACGTATCGCGGAATTCCACTTCAGCCACGCACTCAGGGACAGTAAATGACCGTTCGGTTCAGCCCCCTCACTCTGATATGTCCTCCTATGTCGAACACTTCGTATTACTCCTGTAATGTGGATGTCTTTGCACAGGTTTTCTTAGGTGTAAGCTATAACAGCATGTTGGGGTAGGTTAGAGTAAATGGATGGAGCTCCGCATCCCGGCCGAAGCAGCTCGGCAGGGCCGAGCAGCTGCGCCGCTCTTGCTCTCCTCTCTGGGCCACTGGCGCGGGAAGAGGAGGAGGAGGAGGAGGAGGAGGAGGCGGAGGAGGAGGAAGAGGAGGAGGAGGAGGAGGAGGAGGAGGAGGAGGAGGAGGCGGAGGAGGAGGAGGAGGAGGAGGAGGAGGAGGAGGAGTGAGGGAGGAGTGAGGAGGGACGAGTGGGGAGGAGGATAGCCTGGCTCGTGGCCTCGCAGAGCCTCCGTGGCACGAGGCCGTCCCGGACCTGGTGCTGCCCGTGCTGCTGGCGCACCTGGGCGCGGCCGCGGGGGGCAAGTGGCAGGTGAAGGCCCCTCCGGCGGGCGCCTCCCGCCCTTCGCGGCCGCCCTCCCCTCCGATCGCCGAGGAGAAACGAGAACCCCGAAGCCTAATCGTAGCACAGGGGAGACGTGGCCTCGCCGAGGTCCCCGTCTTTTTGTCTCAGGGGTACTGGATCTGGGCGGTCTGATTCGGCTCACCTTGCAGAAGAGACCCCTCTGTCCCGCCTATCCCTGATGATCATGGCCCTCCTGGCTTGGGTCCCGGGCCAAGGGCACTTTTCCTCTGTACCATCCGAGGCTGCAGCTCGCTCTTGGCGTGGGCCCCCGGAGGCTGGGCCCCCCGCGGGCGTCGCGGTCTGGGCCGGCGCGGCGAGCGCGGCGCGAGTGGCCGCGAGGGCGCGGACGCAGCCTCGCGCCGCGCAGCGAGGGGCGCGAGTCGCGACGTCGGGCGGCTGCCGATCCCCGCCACGGCCCGGGGCGCCGACGATGCGATTCGATGCGGTTCGATGCGCCGGCCTGGGGCCGCGATGCCGATTCGATGCGATCTGCTGGGATCGGCCAGGGGGCCCGCGCCAGCCAGATCCCGGCGCGGCGACGCCGTGTCTACCCGATCCGCTCCGCTCTCGATCCGAGCCGCTCCTGCGATGCGGTCCACCTCTGGCCGGGCTGCCTCGTCGCAGCGTCGCCTCGCCCGCGTCGCCGCCGGGGCTCCGAGCGGCAGCGCCGGGGCCCCGCATATGCGGGCGGCCTCCGAGGCCTCGGCTCTCGGGGAGGGAGTCTCTCCGG